GTGTGTGTGTGTGTGTGTGTGTGTGTGTGTGTGTGTGTGCGTGTGTGTGTGTGTGTGTGTGGTGAATGCTGAGTGGGTAGATGTGAGTGTGTGCATTTATTCATCTGTGTGTCTGTAAAAAACATACCCATTTGAAATAAATACCTACATAACCAAAAATGGATGACGTATAACCTCTAAGCGACACGAGAAGAAAGAGACAAAAGAATTCTGGAAAGCGCAAGGGCACAAAATTAACGAATCACATACCACGATGATGAGAGAGCGGGTATACAGCTTGGACCAGCCCATCTATCTAATCTCTCAGTGTTTCATCCTCATTAAAAAAAAAAAAAAAATCTTTTTCTTTCTTATCCTATCTCTCATGGTTTTGGTGTTTAGAGGAAGATTTTTTTTAATGTTTGGACAAAAGTTGCTCCGGGTGGGTGTGGTGGGGTCTAGGGGAAGAAAGGGGGTGGGTGAGAGGGATAGAGAGAGAGAGGGAGGAAGGGGAAGGGTGAGAGGGATAGAGAGAAAGAGGGGAAGGAAGGGGGAAGGGGTGAGAGGATAGAGAGAGAAGGGGAAGGAAGGGATAGAGAAAAGGGGAGGAGGGCAGAGGGGACAGAGAAGAGGGGGATGAAGGGAAGAAATAGAGGGGGAAAGGGGGATAGAGAAAAGAATCGGAGGAAGGGACAGAGAAAGAGGGGAGAGGAAGGAGAAAGAGGGGGAGAAAGGGATAGAAAAGAGGGGTAGGAAGGGATAGAGAGAAAAGGACAGAGAAAGAGGGGGAGGGAAGGACAGAGAAAGAGTGGGAAGAAGGGAGAGAAAAAGAGAGGTTAAGGGATAGAAAATGAGGGGAGAAGGGATAGAGAAAGGGGTAGGGGGGAAAGAGGGGAAGAAAAAGGGTGAGAAAGGGATAGAGAAAGATGGGGAAAAAGGCATTACCCTGAGGGGGGGGGTGGAGGGGGCACTAGGAGACCTCCCCCAAGCCACCAAGGGCGGTGTCACGTGTCATGCAGCCATAAGAGAGCCACGACAAAAATACATGACTGACTGCAGGCGACGGCTTTGTCACAGGAGTCAGACATGAATTACAGGACATTGTTCTTAGGGCATTATGGACATTATAGAACGAGATCTTTTGCTCATAAGATCTTTGCTCATTGATATATATATATATATATATATATATATATATATATATATATATATATATAGAGAGAGAGAGAGAGAGAGAGAGAGAGAGAGAGAGATACAAGAAACTTTTAATACGTCATAAAGATCTTTGGATAATTAGCTAAAGATAATTATCAAAATCAAGACTTTCCTTTTACGAAAGACTCCAAACAAATCATCAATCTGCAATTAAATACAAGCCAAAGATCTCCACATCATTCTAACAACATCAACAAAAGATAAGGAAGTGTCTTCTAAGTTTTCTCTAATACACAACCCCCATTTAGCTAACATCATAAAAAATAAGGAAATGCAATCCAAAGTTTTCTCTAATACACAATCCCATTTAGCTAACAACATCAACAAAAAATATGTAAATATCCTCCAAAGTTTTCTCTAATACACAACCCCCATTTAGCTAACAACATCAAAAAAGTTAAGGAAATGTAATGCAAAGTTTTCTCTAATACATAACCCCATTTAGCTAACATCAACGTCAACAAAATATAGGGAAATGCAATCTGAAGTTTTCTTTAATACACAACCCCAACTTATTTAAGTAGGACAGCAACAACAAAAGATAAAGAAATATCCTCTAAGTTTTCTCTAATACACAACCCCCATTTAGCTAACAACAACAAAAGATAAGGAAATGCAATCCTAAGTTTTCACTAATGCACAACCCCTTTTAGCTAACACAAAAAAGTTAAGGAAATGCAATCCAAAGCTTCCTCTAATACACAACCTCCATTTAGCTAACAACAACAAAAGATAAGAGAATGTCCTCCTAAGTTTTCTCCAATACGCAACCCCCATTTTTTGCTAACAACATCAACAAAAGTTAAGGAAATGCAATCCTAAATTTAGCGAACAACAACAAAAGATAAGGGAATATCCTCCCAAGTTTTCCCCAATACACAACCCTCATTTAACTAACTAACATCAACAAAAAATAAGTAAATATCCTCCCAAGTTTTCTCCAATACACAACCCCCATTTAGCTAACAACATCAACAAAAAATAAGTAAATATCCTCCCAAGTTTTCTCCAATACACAACCCCCATTTAGCTAACACAGAAAACGGCCCGTCTCCCTGAGCGCAGCCCCTCCACCACCAACTGGCCGACCGACCGGCAAGACGCCAAGGTAAACTGTGCCACAAGCGAGGGTCTTCTTGCCTTTGGCCGGTGTCGAGCCCTCGTTTCGGCTCTCGCGGGGATGGTCCTTTACCTCGGCCGACGGGGAGAAATGCAGGGAGTGTCTTCATTTGGGGTTTTGTCTTCGTTTGAGGGCTCGGGTGTCTGGAGGCGTTGGTATTTCGTGTGTGTGTGTGTGTGTGGTGTGTGTGTGTGTGTGTGTGTGTGTGTGTGTGTGTGTGTGTGTGTGTGTGTGTGTGTGTGTGTGTGTGTGCATACATATATGTATATATATGTATGTATAGACAGATACATAGATGAATAGATAAATTCATAGATAGAGAGGGAAATAGATAAAGTAGGAAGGAAATAGATAGATCGAAAGAGAGGAGGGAAGGTGATAGATAGATAGATAGATAGATAGATAGGTATCGGGTTAAGAAACGTTCGAATAATTTTTGTTTACGGTAATACTGTTATCGCAATGACAAATAACCGTGTCCTGTATGAATAAAACAATTTATCCAGAAGATAAAATATTTACTTTAAGGAAGCAATCAAAAGAAAGAAATCAGCCAAACTGAACAAAGCTGTGAATATCCTTTTCAATATTCACAGAAAACGAAAATTCAAAATGTAAAAAAATTAAGTCTAGGAAGCTATAGATATTAAACTTCAAGCATACAAATGATACACATATAATAGAAATCTAAAAAAAAAAGACTTAAGTAGCCATAAATATCAAACTTCAAGCATACAAATGATACACATTTAATAAAAATCCATAAAAAACGATAATAATCGCCAGAGACTAAGACAAAACACATATTTAAAAAAATGTAAACAAAAGAGTCGTTGGGCCTTGTGTACACACGTGGTCTTGAGTTACAGCTGACACATTCTTGTTCTGTCGCCCCGAAGTACTGGCGAAATAACAAGAATGTGAGCCCTGAACATGCTTCGAATTCTTGTAGTAGAGAAACTACTATACTATTTCATTCAGGTTTTGTGACGTCATTTTAAAGCCACGTGTTGTTGTACTGGCGTGTTTTTTTTTGTTGTTGTTGTTTTTTTCATTCTGTGACGTTGTGAGAGGTATTTTGTTTACAGTGTCTCTTTAGTACGCTACGTGTGTATGTATGTGCGTTGTATGTGTGTTTGAAGATATTTCATTTTTGTTGTGTGATTGGTACATTTTACGTCCATCTATCTACTCTTTATCTATCTGTCTACAGCAATCCATCTATCTTCCTGTCTACAGCATTCCATCTGTAGTGGTAGAGGGAAAAGAGAGAGAGAGAGAGAGAGAGAGAGAGAGAGAGAGAGAGAGAGAGAGAGAGAGAGAGAGAGAGAGAGAGAGAGAGAGAGAGAGAGAGAGAGAGAGAGAGAAGAGAGAGAAGAGAAGAGAGAGAGAGAGAGAGAGAGAGAGAGAGAGAGAGAGAGAGAGGAGAGAGAGAGAGAGAAAGAGAAAGAGAAGAGAGAGAGAGAGAGAGAGAGAGAGAGAGAGAGAGAGAGAGAGAGAGAGAGAGAGAGAGAGAGAGAGAGAAAGAGAGAGAGAGAGCGAGCAAGAGATCCATACCATACGCGGCAAATCACGCCGACAGATAGATTAGTATCACTTTCGCTACTTTGATGAGCTATCCCATCAGACATCGATTTTTTTTCTATTTTTTCACCATTTCTGAAAATCGGCCAAGAAAATGCACAGGAAGACGGTGTCAGACGGTCTGAGGGAATGTGTTAATCGGCGTTGCTGACTTTTTACAATATCAAAATCATCAGCGCTCTGGCTCTATCTATCTACCTACCTGTCTGTCTACATATTGTATATATATTCATATTTATTTATATATAAATGTATATATATGTACATATATATGTGTGTGTGCGTGTGTATAAATGTATGTGTTTATTTATGTCTGTATGTATGTATGTTTGTATGTATGTATGCATGTATGTATGTAACTACAAAGTTTAGAAGAAAATGTCTTCCAGTATCAAACATTTCTGTACTCAAAGGCATCCGCTTTGCATAATCAGGCCAGCAATTGAAAACTTGCAGCGACACGCGGCCGTAAAGTACGTGGCAGGAAGTGGTTTTTCATTCTCGTGTTGCGTGCGGTTGCAGAGGGGGAGAGGGAGGAGGGGGAGAAGGAAGAGGAAGGGAAAGGAACCCACCGGAATGATATGGGGGGGGCAGGGAAGGGGTTAGGGGGGGAGAGATAGCTGCGTGGGGGGGCAGGGAGGGGGTTAGGCGAGGAGGATGGCTGCGTGGGGGGGGCGGGAGGGGGCGATAAGAGAACAAAATCTCGGGGGGCAAACAACCCCTTTTGATTATGATGGAGTCGAGAGAAGCGCAGCCGTGAGGAGTATCTGCCTTGCTTATTTTAGCAGGTTAAGATGATCGGCTCGTCAGCGCCGGCGGCAGAGGTCCATTTAGCCCGCGCGCGCCCGTCCGCGCCCTAGATTCTTGGCCACGTCCTCTGCCGATCCGCCTAAAAAGGCATCGCCCTACGTCACGAGGGGGAAAAGATACCCTGCAAGAAATGCCCCTCTAACCTGCCCCGCGATTGGCCGGCGCTCGAGTCGACGTCACGGGCCGGGCCAACCAGCCAATCAAAACAGAGCTTGCAAACGGCGCCTGAATCCCGTCCTGCTGCCGGTTTTCCTAGGTTAGCGCCTACATAAAGGCCTTGGGGGCTGGACGCGAACAGAACAGCTTTCGATCGTAAGTGTTGGGCACGTGTTGTGTTGCTGGACAGTGTGAGAGAGTTATCATCTGGTTTCTTTTCACATCTTTCTGTTTTATCTCATTTGCTGTTAGTTCTTTATCGGAGGGTTGGGTTAAAGACGTGGAACCTTTGTGCTGTGGATCGTCGTCTTCGACACCTTGGAATGACTTGTGTGTGAGAAAACGGAAGGCGGAACCCGGCATGGCCCTTGGTGGGGGAAGCTCTGACAACCGCTGTCATTTCCCTTGTCTCCTTTGTCACGTCGCTTGACAGGCGCCCCTCGGCTCGCAGGACCTGTGTCAAGGATTGCCGCTGGATCGAACAGTCTCACTCTCCATATATTAAAAAAACATCTGTATTCACTCACATTTTCATTTGTTTATTTAGAATTAACTGACCTTTATTCAAATAGAAAAACGAAAGAAAATACCCATTGCAAAATAGGCAAGTCCCCCTCAGACGCCATGCTAAGGGTGACGCCCTCCCAGAACACATCCCTTGCAAGTCATTCTTGTCTGTCTTGAAGATGTTTATTATTTAGAGCCAATTTTTAAAATCAATTCCAGTGGATTTAAAAAAGATGCGTGGAATTTCTTATTCATACTTTTACCACTGACATTTCGATATGTCTGTATCCCCTTCCTTCAAACTGAGTATAATATATATATTTTTGTCTCTATCTTTGTCTATATCTTAATCGATTTCGAGTGTTCCAACATAATAATCTTGTCCATTTTCCCCCAAAGTGGGTTTTTCCAAAGCTAAATTGCATATTTTCAATAACATTTTGTGTATGTAAATTATAGGGTAACCCCCCCCCCAAAGCAAATTTGTTTTATTGTCAGTAACACTTTTTCCGCAAAAGGAAAATAAATCGCCATTTTCATCAATACTAATATTTTTGTCTCGGCCGTTATATTGATATTTTTTCGGTGTTATTACTGTCATTGTTATTTCGCGTGTTACTATCTAGTCATTAATACGTCATACTATACTAGCATAGACATATATGTACATATGTACATACATATATACATACATATATATTATATGTATATACATATATACATATATTACGTACATATAATATTATATAATAATTATTATATACATATACATATATATTATATATATATATTATATATAATAGTATATACATATACATATATATATATATATATAACATATATATGTATATATATATATATATATATATTATATATATATTATATCATTATATATATATTATATATATATATAATATATATATATATGTATTTATGTATGTATGCATGTATGTATATATTTATTTTATTGATCTATCTATCTATATATACATATTTGTTTATGATATGCGGAGATTTAAACGCAACGGTAAACGCGCTTTTAGTCTTTCCGACATACACAGACACAAACATATCTAGTACTAAGTCAGAAAAATATATCTTAAATGTAGATTACTAATTTACTAATTTACCATTTTCAGTGTCTGTTATTCTAATTTATGCAGTGTCTGCTTCTATAAGAATTCAGTTTTTAAGTGTATTATTATTGTGATTTACACGCGAAAGGGAGTAAAATAGCTTTCTTTTTTATTCTAGTCTTTTCTTTCCGTTAAGAAGTATCATCTGCGAATAACTAGTTTGATATAGATGTTCTGATTTCGAAAGAAAACAAAATCGCTTCGATAGAACATATACTTCCCAGAAAACGTGCATTCGATCCTCTCATTACATAAAAATGGGCCTCGATTCGACCATCTATAGTTCACGGAGCTTATACTCTCGCCTCCACCAATCAGCAAGCAGGAACCGCAAAGCCTCTTTCCATCCTCCCTCTCGCCACCTACGCCCACCACCACCCCTACCATGGCACCTGCCGGAATATATTTATAACTTGGCACTGGTGTCAAGTTCCTACCCTATTCCGGCCCGTGCCAACTCTATACACCGCCCACCCCGACCGCCACCCACCGCCCACCCCTTCGCCATCTTGGCCCCTTCGCTCACGTAGGCTATATGAGTTCCACGCCCCGTTCCTCCCCTTCAGTTGTCCTTCGGAGGGTGATCGAGGTGGTGCGTTGTTGCGGCTCCTGTTGGTTGCTTTGGTGTGGGAGGGGATCGGTTGTGGCGTGGCTTTCGTTATCTGATTATTCGCTTATTTTTGTTATTTCATTTTTCCCTTGGGGACTGCTATTCAGCTTGATTTTCATGCATTTGGTTGATATTATTTTAATCAGTAAGAATATTTAAATAAAATCGTTATTTGCAATTTTCATGTTTTAATCTATATTTCTTAAATTCGCTTTTGCTTAGTAAAGTGTATTTTACTTGTTTTATTTATTTATGGCATGTAAAAGGATCATGATACGTTATGATAGTATTTATGCATCTTTTCCAGTAGCCAAACTTTTGATTTTTTTCAAAAAATATCTCGAAAAAACGTTAAAAATTTACGATTAAGAAATTTACGTGTTTTGAATAACCATTTCGTTTACTAGTATTTGTTAATTCCGTTCTAATCACGCTGTTATTGTACCGATATATTATCACTTGAAATCCGCCTTGTCTAACGCGCCCGGTGTCCCTTTCCAGGAAAGTTCCAGGGCTGTTCTGCGTACTGTGTGTCTGACCTCGACTGTCTGCCTGTAAGCGCCCCGCACCACCACCATGCCTGGCCACATCGTCAAGAGCACCGGGCCCGACCCCGACCCCACCGAGTACCTGTACGTGTCCCTGGAACAGAAGCGCATCGACCAGACCAAGCCCTACGATGCCAAGAAGGCCTGCTGGGTGCCCTGCGAGAAGGAGGGCTACGTCCTCGGCGAGATCCAGGGCACCAAGGGCGACCTGGTGACCGTGCTGGTGCCCGGCGGCGACACCAAGAACTTCAAGAAGGATCTGGTGCTGCAGGTCAACCCTCCCAAGTTCGAGAAATGCGAGGATATGTCCAACTTGACCTATCTCAACGATGCCTCCGTCCTGTACAACCTCAAGCAGCGTTACATCACCAAGCTCATCTACACCTACTCCGGCCTCTTCTGCGTCGCCATCAACCCCTACAAGCGCTACCCGATCTACACCAACCGCTGCGTCAAAATCTACCAGGGAAAGAGGCGTAACGAAGTCCCCCCTCACATCTTCGCCATTTCCGACGGCGCCTACATGGACATGCTGCAGAGTGAGTCTCTCCCGTTTTCTATGTCAGTCAAGTTCTTCGATGAAAAAAAAAAAAAGAAAGATTAGGTTTTCATATGTTTTTATTAACTAGAATTAGTTAAGGGGAGGGAATACATATACGGTATTCATAAAAATCGCAAACTAATCTTCTAAAAGATTTCAAACACCGCGCGGGAACCACAAAAGAGCAAGAAACAAAAGAGAATCAGTTAACGGGAGGTACTCCATTTCGCGGGCAAAAGAGCGTGTCAAAAGAGTGGCACTTAACAAGGCAGTGACAGGTGACAGCTCGACGAAAAGGGAGTGATAAAAAGTCGTTAGGGTAAAAGGGTGGGCTGTTTAGGCTGAGTTCTGGGTTTTAAAAACGGACAGGGCCTCAGCGGTGAGTGGTGACTGATGTAGGATAATTTAGAAAAAAAAATCACGTATTATACATTTCGGCTCTTTTGGGGGAAATATTAGATTTATGGTTTGATTTACTGGCTGCAATAGCTTCGCTGTAGTTAGTTCATATGTAGCACCTAAAATACAGCATATTGCTTACAGTATTACCTAAGACAGAATAGCCAAAATGTCGTACTCACTGCGGTTGCAAAAACATATAATATAGTTCGTAATCTGAATCATAATTCAATGGCTACTCTATAGGGAGGTAAAACGCAAAATCTGTTAATTGCGGTACATGATTATAGGGCAATTCATCAAACAAATACCATATTTCAAAGAATTGTAATCATCAGGTAAGAATAGTATCAGGGTTTTTAGCGTAGATTTTTATGAATGGTGGATGAACTATGATCAGATTATATCTTTTTATAAGGTATATAAAAAGATATAAAAAAAAGGTTTGGATTTTATATATAAATATATATATAGATATAGATATAGATAGATAGATAGAAGACAATCTAAATCGAAAAAAGAAAAAAAATTGACCATATAGAAATTCTATTTTTGGATTTATTAGCCTAATGGTTACTACATGTGCTTTGTGTTTAATTGGTATCTTGAAATTAGAAAAAAAATAGAGATAGAAATAACAGATTAGTCTTTGGCAGTTAGTGATGGAATATAGATAAGAAAAGGAAAAAAAACGTAGTAAAATATGTTGTAAAAGTGACATGTGGTGAGACAGTGAGGTTAAATTGAGATATACTAGATGAGAGGTAAGGTGAAGATCCATGAGAGAAGAAAAGAAATAATAAAAAAGAATAAAATAAGGGCTAAATGGAATTAGTAGACAAGTATTAACGGCATAAGGTAATGGATGTAACTATGGTATACTTAGCTGACTGGGGCTTACTAATGGGTATTGAATAAATGACCAAGTACAAAGATGCAGTCCAAGAAATTAGGAAAACAGGCGATGAGATATGGGTGAGTAGGTGGATAGGAGGGTGGATAGGTGGATGGGGTGGGTGGGTTGGATGATAGAAGATGGGGAAGGCGTAGGGGTGTGGGAGGGGAGGGGGGGGTTAGGGCGTCTCTCTGGCCCGTGACTATTTTAATACACTGCCAACACTGCTCTGGCATCTGCTCGCACACATACCTTATATGGTCAACGAGGCAAGATATTTCCTTTGATTATATATATATATATATATATTATATATATATATATATATATATATATATATACATACACACACACACACCACACACACACACACACACACACACACACACACACACACACACACACACACACACACACACACACACACACACACACACACACACACACACACACACACACACACACACACACACACACACACACACACACACACACACACACACACACACACACCCGCATATATATGTATCAGTAAGCATATCGTGACATATTCTTAGCTTCTATATTAAAACCATTTTTTATTGCCCGAACAATACAGATAACCATATAGTTTGCTCTACACAATATTGTCTGAACTATCTGAACCGCTACAGATGTTTATGTTTTTGTTTTATCTTTCAGACCACGAGAACCAGTCTATGCTTATCACGTAAGTCCTATCATCTTTAATATTAATCTTTTTCAGTTATTGATAGCTGAATATTTGACAAGGGAGTTAAATTCAATTTGTTTCTTTTTTTTAAGTTTCCAAGTTGTTTCTGCCATTCATATCGTAGGTTATTGTTTAATCCTTGTATGTATTAAATGTTGGATCTTTCATTTCCGATTTGAGAAATATCCTTTGGTAGGCTATATTATAAAAGTCATGAATTTGCTGTTTGATCAATTCCCTTGTAATATCACGTGAAATAGTCGTTCCCTGGGTGGGTAATTCCCTTGTTAGAACACACATGGATAATCGTTCACTATTTGGTCAATTCCTCTGTAATATCACACATGAAATAGTCATTCACCCAACATTGTGTGTTGAGAGTTGTCCCACTTGCTCTGTTAGGAAATTATATGTTTTGTTTCCCCATTTGATTGGTATTCACGTGTTATTTTCCATGTTAAGTTGTTACCTGCGTGTTATTCCCCCTGTCTTGTCTCTGGAATACGTGTGACACATTCCAGTTCCAGTATGTTTATGGAATTTAAAGGACCAATTCCACTGCCTGTGTAAGAAACCTTTTTTTTTTATATTCTAATAATTCATATCAAGACAATGAAAAAACACCTATTTGCCTTTGAACTCTTTAACAATATGAAAACTGTTTTATAAACGTCAGTGATGACTTTTCACCATCCACTGACCACGATTTTGCCTCCCACTAATGTTTTCTCTTTACGTTTTGTGATATAAAAAATCTGAAAGACGATATCCAAGGCGATATTGAGTCCCCAAGGAAGGAGGCTGAGGGATGGCGCTCATGAGGACAGGACCCTCCATCCCTCGCCTCCTTCTCCTCCTTGACTTCCACCACAGCTTGACTCACCTCACTCTTACCTCCTCACGTTCTCTTGTGACTCACCCTCTGACTGGCTGGCTGGCTGGCTAGTGGCGAGTCAGGAGCCGGCAAGACCGAGAACACGAAGAAAGTTATCCAGTACTTTGCCAACATCGCAAGGAAAAGTGATTCCTTTGAAAAGAAGGGAAAGCAGAAAGAGATGCCCAAGTTCTCATCTGGTGTAAGTTCCCTTCGCCGAGGAAAACTAGATTTTGCAAAAGAGGAAAAGAGAGAAATATAATCTAAAAGTAGAGGATTATGAATACTTTCAATTTATGTTAATTTCCGTTGCTGTTGGACGTTTTTTTTTCTTGTAATTATCGTTTCTAAAGTCCGCTTCCATCAATGGCTTCTTGATGTTGGCTAATGCACAAACAAGCGCCACCTGCAACTTAATTAAGCTTAAAGTATGCTGGGTATTGACTACCATTCCTCTGTCCTTAAACGACCCTTTTCTAAAACCACAAAGTACCACGCTTCATATTCGAGCTTCCCGCGTCACGACCCCCGCCCGCTGTGTTGTGTCCGTAGCTTCTTTATAACGTTGTCGTCTCTTTTATTTCTTTTCGTCTCCCTCTTTTCCCATTCATTGTACTGTTAATCTTTCCATCATCGACGTGTAGATGTGTCCGTGTAGAGAGCCAAGTAGCTTCACACGAACCCTTTGGCTTCACTCTCGCCTCAGCCTCGTTCCTTTCGCTTCCGCTAACTGGACGATTCTGTTCTCCTAACACAGAGGAGAATCTGGTGCAGGC